GTCCCGCTTCCCGGGTCTCGCGCAGGTCCCGGGTCCCGGGTCCCGCGCCGGTCCCGGGTCCCGCGGGTCCTGGGTCCCGAGCCGGTCCCGGGTCCCGGGTCCCGCGCCGGTCCCGGGTCCCAGGTCCTGGGTTACGCGCCGGTCCCGAGCCCCGGGTCCCGGGTCCTGGGTCCCGCGCCGGTCCCGGGCCACGGGTCCCGGGTTCTGCGCCGGTCCCGGGTCCCAGGTCTCGCGCTGGTCCCGGGTCCTGGGTCTCACGTCCTGCGCTGGTCCCGGGTTTCGGGTCCCGCGCCGGTCCCGGGTCGCGGGTCCGGCGCCGGTCCGGAGTCCGGCGCCGGTCCCGGGTCGCGGAGTCCCGGGTCCCGAGTCCCGCGCCGGTCCCGGGTTCCGGGTCCCGGTCCGGGTCCGGGTCTTGCGCCGGTCCCGGGTCCCGGGTTTCGCGCCGGTCCCGTCTCCCGGGTGTCGCGTTGGTCCCCGGTCGCGGATCTCGCGCCGGTTCCGGGTCCCCGGGTCCAGCGCCGGTCCCGGGTCCCGGGTCCCGCGCCGGTTCCGGGTCCCGGGTCTCGCGCCGTTCCCGGGTCTCGGGGCCCGCGCCGGTCCAGGGTCGGGTCCCGCGCCGGTGCCGCCGCGTCGTCCCGGGTTCCGCGTCGGTCCCGGGTCGGGAGTGCCGGGTCGCGCGCCGGTCCCTGGTCCCGGCCGGGTCCCGGGTCCCGCGCCGGTCCGGGGTCCCGCGCCGGTCCCGGGTCCCGGGTCCCGGGTCCCGGGTCCCGCGCCGGTCCCAGGTCCCGCGCTGGTCCCGGGTCCTGGTCGCGGGTCCCGCGCCGGTCCCGGGTCCCGGGTCTCGCGCCAGTCCCGGGTCCCGGGCCCCGCGCCGGTCCCGAGTCCCGGGTCCCGCGCCGGTCCCGGGTCCCAGATCCCGCGCCGCAAGGTCGCGGGTCCCGGGTCGCGCGCCGGTCCCGAGTCGCGGGCCCTGAGTTCCGGGTTCTGCGCCGGTCCCGGGTCCCAAGTCCCCCGGGTCCCGCGCCGGTCCCGGGTCCAGGGTCCCGCGCCGGTCCTAGGTCCCGGGTCTCGCGCCGGTCCCGGGTCCCCGGGTCCCGCGCCGGTGCCGCGTCCCGGGTCCCGCGCCGGTCCCGGGTCGGGAGTGCCGGGTCGCGCGCCGGTCCCGGGTCCCGGGTCCCGGGTCCCGGGTCCCGGGTCCCGCGCCGGTCCCGCGCCGGTCCCGGGTCCCGGGTCCCGCGCCGGTCCCGGGTCCCGGGTCCCGCGCCTATCCCGGGTCGCGGGTCCCGGGTCCGGCGCCGGTCCCGGGTCCCGATTCCCATGCCGGTCCTGGGTCGCGGGTTCCGAGCCTGAGACCGGCGCCGGTCCCGGGTCCCGGGTCTCGCGCCGCTCCCGGGTGCGCCAGTCCCCGGACCCGGGCCCGGGGGCCGGAAAAACGTCAGCCCGCGTCAGCCCGCGTCAGCTCGCGTCAGCCCTCCCTCCCCCCTCTCCCTCCCAGGAGCGCGCCCGGGTCCCGGATCCCGGGCCTGGAGGCCGGAAAAACGTCAGCCCGCGTCAGACCGCGTCAGCTCGCGTCAGCCCGCGTCAGCTCGCGTCAGCCCTCCCTCCCCCCTCTCCCTCCCAGGAGCGCGCCCGGGTCCCGGATCCTGGGCCCGGAGGCCGGAAAAACGTCAGCCCGCGTCAGCCCGCGTCAGCTCGCGTCACCCCGCGTCAGCTCGCGTCAGCCGCCCCCCCTTCCCAGGAGCGCGCCCGGGTCCCGGATCCCGGGTCCTGGGGCCGGAAAAACGTCAGCCCGCGTCAGCCCGCGTCAGCTCGCGTCAGCCCGCGTCAGCTCGCGTCAGCCCGCGTCAGCTCGCGTCAGCCCCCCCCCCCCTCGCCAGAGCGAAGCTTGAGCGAGCTCAAGCCCACGCTCTCAGGAACTCACACGCCGGATCGGCGGATTTGGGGTCCTGAGGTGCCGCCTGTGAGGCGGTCTGGTCGGTCTCGCCTGAGACCTTCCTGCAATTGTGGGCTTGGAGATGCCGCGCGAGAGATAGTTCAGCCTATTTCGCTTCGACATCCTCGCCGTTGTCCTGAGGCGGTCCCGTCCTTTTGGCTTGAATCATTCTCGCAGTTGTAGGCTTCGAGGCACGCGAGAGGTCTTTCCAGCTTCTCCTCCCACACTCTCGCAACTCAGGGCCCATGGATGGCCTGACCTGAGCTGGTCCAGTTAGGTTCGCTCCGCACTTCGTCACAGATCTGAGCTCGGATATGACCTGGCCTGAGCTCGTCCAGCCATCTTCGCCCGATGCATCCTCGCTATCCTAGGGCAGTCGATGCTCTTGCCTCACTGTATCTGATCTCGTTCCTCGCTGATCTGGGTTTGCAGCTGCCGTGGGCTGTTCGTTTCGCTTGAGATCTCCTTGCAACTCTGGGTTCATGTACTGGGGTCCTCACCTCACGTGGTCCCGGTCCTTTTCGCTCGGGGGATCGTCGGGGTTCTGTTTCGGGGATGCCCAGACTTGAGGCGGTGTAAGCAATTTCGCCCGAGCTTTTCCTTTTCTGGGCTCAGAGATGTCCTGTCAATGCTGTCGCCGATGACCCATGTGACAATTTGTGCCACCTGTCAGATGAACACTCGGGGTGAGTGCAACCCTCCTTGTTACCAGTGGCAGATATGTCAATCGGGGCCACCTTTCGAATGGGCGAGGGTAGCTGGGCATTGCATGAGGCGAGTTGCCCGCCTCTGCCGAGGAGATTTTGGGAGGAAGTGGTTGCATACGCTAGTCACCCAGAGGGTTGGGCGGATTGTCCTTGCCTTAGATGCCGTGTGGGCCATCGTCGGAAGGGGAGGCCCGACGTTGCCCCATCAGCCAGACTACTGCTGCTGCACCTCGCCTTGCCTTTGCGCCCAAAACATAAGGTCACATCGCCTTCCAGGCCGGCGGGTTCGGAAGTCATGGAGCGTCGCGTCAAATTCGCGGGAGGGGTCAGTGATATGCCATCACCAAGCTTGGCCAGGAATTCCATGGGCATTTGCCAGTGGCCCCTGAGAGGCCTGGCTATATTAGGAGCTATGATTCCTGGCCGATCTGATTCTTGGATGCCAGTTTGGGTCCGATCCGCCGTGCGCCACTGAGGTGTCTAGGGATCCAATATGAGGTGCCTCGCCCTCGGCGAAAGCCAACGCAAGTAAAACGAGGATGGTGCCGCTGGGGGAAGCTTGGCGGAATCCTGCGGAGGTGCAGTGGGCGTCTTCACGAGAGGTCAACGCTGGTTTCCGAGGAGTTTTCGGAGGTTGCCAGGTTTCGTCCGACCGTTTCCCGTGTCGTTTCCGTGATTCGGTCTGTGGACAAGGCCTGTGCGGAGCTCGGTCGTCCGACTCATTCACGGCGAGGCTCAAATGTGGGAAGAGAGGCCGAGGCCGAGAACGTGCATTGAGCGCCTCGAAACGGGAAAGGAGGTGAAGACGTGCGTGGCGTGCGGGGAGGCGAAAGCGGAGATTTGGTTCTCTAGGCGGATGTGTAATGGCGTTGCAGACAAGCATCGCAAGTGCAGCGTGTGCGTCGATGGGGATGCCGCCGAAAAGGCTAGAAAGGGACAAGGAGAAGCGAAAGGAATTGAAGACGGGCGTGGCGTGCGGCGAGGGAAAAAGTGGAAGCCGCATTCGGTAGGCGGATGTGGAGAGACGTCGCAGACAAACATCGCAAGTGCGAGGAATGCGTGAACGGAGCGAGAAAGCAGGTGGGCATTGGACATGCACAGCCTGCAAGAACGCGTACCCGAAGGTGGAGTTCAACCGCTGGCATGCCGAGCGAACGTGGAGAAAATCGAATGGGAAGCAAAGGTGCAAGAAGTGCGTCGCACATGAGGAGCATGCGAACAGGGAGGTCACCGAGAGAAGCTATAGGTCTTAGAAAAAATAAACAACGAAGATAACCACCAGGAGAAACCAGTATGGCCCCAAGAACCCCACTCCTCATAGCACCTCCCCTGGCCCGCGCACGTCCTCGTGCAAGAGTCATGGCGTGCGTGCCACTTGGAAACGTCGATGGACGAGGAGGAGGAGGAGGAGGAGGAGGAGGAGGAAGGAGGAGGTAGGTGGGAGGAGGGAGGAGGGAGGAGGGATGAGGGAAGAGGGAGGAGGAAAGAGGGAGGGAGGGAGGGAGGGGGAGGGGGAGGGGGACAAGCTGGGTGCGCTCGCGTCATGCCTGACGTCCTGCCCTCCCTTCCATCCCTTGCCATGGCGTAGATATCCTCTCCATTCGCACTGTCGGATGCCGAGCAGGGCAACGATGTCGACAGGGTGAGCGTTGCATCGTAGAGCACGGAATAGCAGGGCATAGAATAACGGCAAAGCGTAGTGTGTCATAGCATGGCGAGGCGTTGCGTAGTGAATAATTGCATCGCAAAGCGTTGCAACGCAAATATTGGCATCGCACAGCGGCACATAACAGAACATGTCAGAGCATGACGTTGAAGACCAAAGCGTAGCATGGCATAGCATAGCGTGGCACTGCCTAGTCAAGCACTGCATATCCTAGCATTGCGGCTGAAGGCATGGCATCGCACAGCGGAACACCACATATCATTGCACTGCATGCCGTGGCATGGCATTTGAAATAATGACGCCAGTGCTGCAGCAAAAACACCATTCGGAACGAGCGGAACCGCGGAAAGGAGGCCAGCGCTGCAGCGGGAACACGATTCGGAACGAGCGGGAGCCCGAAAATGAGGCCAGCGCTGCAGCGGGAGCACGATTCGGAACGAGCGGGAGCCCGAAAATGAGGCCAGCGCTGCAGCGGGAGCATCATTTTGAACAACAAAACCAAAGCGAAAACCAAACTCCCGTAAATCTTGCGCGTGAAAATCAATACGCGGAGGGGGCCGAATACCTTCCGGCCGAATATCTTCCGGACGTCCTCAGGGGAGAGAGGAGAGTAGTATTCAGATTGTGCGATTGCGGAGGAGGAGGATCCCCCTCCTCCCTTGGCTTCCACTGGGCAGCTGCTTCCTTCGCGGAGGAAAGGTTCTTCGGGCTGCCGCAGCAGGCGGAGTCGGTCATCGCCGACGCCGTGGAGCGCATCGAGAGGTGCGCGAAGGCTTGTGCCTCCTCCTCCTCCTCATCCTCCTCCTCCTCGTCCTTCCTCCTCCTCCTCCCGCTCCCCCTCCTCCTCCTCCTCCTCCTCCTCCTCCTCCTCCTCCTCCTCCTCCTCCTCCTCCTCCTCCTCCTCCCCCTCCCCCTCCTCCTCCGCCTCGCTACTCGCTCCTCGCTCCTCGCTCCTCGCTCCTCGCTCCTCGCTCCTCCTCGCTCCTCCTCGCTCCTCCTCCGTTCCTCTCCTCCTCCTCCTCCTCCTCCTCCTCCTCCTCCTCCTCCCCCTCCGCCTCCGCCTCGCTACTCGCTACTCGCCCCTCGCCCCTCGCCCCTCCCCCTCCTCCCTCCTCCTCCTCCGCCTCCGCCTCCTCCTCCTCCCTCATTATCCTCCTCCTCCTCCTGCTCTTCCTCCTCCTCCTCCTCCCTCATTCTCCTCCTCATCCTCCTCCTCCTCGCGCGCCCCACAGGTCAGTCTCGATCCCTACAGGATAAGGGGGACTATTGGGGCTCACGAACTCCCCTTGGGCCATTCTTTTAGGCCTGGGGGGAGCTGCTCCATGGTGAGCTTCAAAATTGCCTTGTGCCTCCCTCTATGGCTGTTGCCTGGTGGCGTGCGCTGCTCCTTGAATTTCCTGGAGGCCCGAACCCGCAAGCACCCACGCCGCCGACACCAAAGAACCCCCATGGCACACAGCGAGATGGGGTCGATGGCTGGGGGTGGACGGCAGGGCCTCCATCGTCGGCGGGGGGCGACCTCCTCTGGCTGGGAATGGCTTGCTCCTCGAAACGGACCCCCCGCTCCCACGGCAACCTGGGCTTCCGCCATGGGCTTGGTGGGGCACGGGGAGCGGAGCCGGCGGGCACAAGGCCTCCTGTGAGTCTTCTTCCCGCATCTGCCGCAGGAGACCTGGTCTCCTTGGGCCTGGGGCCAATGGGAGGTCGCCTCCACAAGATGTTGAGACGCCTCCTCGCTTCGCTCCTGCCGCTGAGCTCTCTTCGTCTCGGCGGGAGCCTCTCCTGCTGGAAGCTGTGCCCACCACGTCGGCAGGATTGCAGCCAGCCGCCCACGGAGCTGCTGGGCGAGCGTGTCCAATGCAAGCACGCGGTTGACCAGCTCCTGGGGGATGGCGGCCCGGGCGGCAGCCTTTCTCGCGCTGTCATTCACAAAGAGGGCCCAGGCTGGAAAACGTGCTCGGACCTCGGGGTCAGTGGCAAGTTCTTTTTCCTCCTCCTCCTCCTCCTCCTCCTCCTCCTCCTCCTCCCTCCTCCTCCTCCTCCTCCTCATCCTCCTCCTCCTCCTCTCTCCTCCTCCTCTCCTCCAACTCCTCCCGCCTATCTCCCTCCTCCTCCCTCCTCCATCCTCCTCCTCCTCATCCCTCCGTCCCTCCTCCCTTCTCCTCCTCCTCCTCTCCCTCCTCCTCTCCCTCCCTCCTCCTCCTCCTCCTCCTCCTCCTCCTCCTCCCTCCTCCTCCTCCTCCTCCTCCTCCTCCTCCTCCGCCTCCTCCTCCTCCTCCTCCTCCTCCTCCTCCCTCCTCCCTCCTCCCTCCTCCCTCCTTCTCGGCTGGAAAACGTGCTCGGACCTCGGGGTCAGTGGCATGACTTCTGGCCTTGAGGTATCGAACCAGCCCCTGGCGGGCCCAAATCACTTGCCAATATTCTAGCCAGAGCCTACGATTGGCGGGGCATCCTCTTGCGGGGGCCCCTGTGGGGCCCACGTAGAAGGTGTGCAGAATCAGTGGCCACTATGAGGTCTCCTTGCGTGTGCCGGAGGAGCTCTGCGGCCCCTTGACGCTCAGCTCTGTTAACTTTCTGGAGCCCCACAACATTCCCTTGGAGATTGCCGAGAGGCGTTAAATCTTCATCCCGTACCCCCGCCCCCATCCGACTCGCCGGAGGCGGGGTTCGGACGCAAGGCGCCCTCTGAGCCACCCACGGAGCCGAGGCGCCAACCGCCCCTCGGCTCGGGAGGATCCAAGAAGGCACCTGTCCCCATCAGCATGGGGTGCTGGGGTGTGGTATCCTCTGCTGCCTTCAGTGCTAGAAGCTGCTGGGATGAGCCCTCGGAGCCACACGCATGCTGGTTGATCGTCCCTTTGGGCGGTGTCTGCTAAGTCCTCCGTACCTTGGATGCAGGGGTGCTCGGCCCGGAAGAGAAGTGGGCCCCCCCAGAAGTTGTGATAGTCATCGCGGTGGTGATCTCAACAGGGCGGGCAGGAGGAGTCTTCGGCGAGCCCTGCCTCGAAGCGTCGCCTGGGACTCCAGGCTGAGCAGGATCCGGCTGCTTTGAGTGCTTTCGCGAGTTTCTTCTGCCCGTCCCGGTACATCCGTTCGATCTGCCACCGAGAGTTCTTGATGTCTACTCCTCCCTGGCATCCTGCTGCTGCATGACCTCCCTGTGCCACACTCCAGGCCTTGTGCTGTAGGAACTG